GCTGGGGAATTCTGGGAGTTGAAGTCCACACATCTTCAAGTTGCCAAGGTTGAGAAACACTCTCTTAAACCATCCATGGCAAATTTGAAAAGAAAAACTTGATTAGGATTAGTTAGGGCTCTTTCATACATCAAGCAGGAGCCAGCCTTGCAGGGAAGTCATCAAGGTGTGTCAAAAAAGTAAAAATGGTGGCCATGATGGTGCAATTGAAGCTCCACCCATTTTTACGTGCATTGCTTCAGCCACGCCATTGTGGTGACCATCTTGACTTTTTTTTTACATGCCCCGCAACACCCCTGAAACCATGGCATACCAGCCAGCATATAGTTAACAAGATTGGCACACTATACAATACACATTCCTGCAAATCTGAGTTGTAATACAACACACACATTGTATTCAATAGAAGAGAATCTCTGTAGCTCAGGGTTGAACTGTGGAGTCCTTGGCGTTCTCTGAGCTTGGTGGTTTTCTTGCAGACGTTTCATTGCCCAACTAGGTAACATCATCATTGCTCATGGGGTAGTGAACTCCAAACTCCCTTGCACAAATGGTGTTACCTATTTGGGTAATGAAACGTCTGCAAGAAAACCACCAAGCTCAGAGAGCACCAAGGATGCCACACCTTGTATTTTCAAAGCAATCCCCTATTCAAAGAAAATATGTATAAAATGGTCCTCAAAAACCTTGAAAGAGTCATTTAAAAGCAGCATTTCTCATGTAGGGGGACATCTGGGGCTAGCAATATATAGAGGGGACATATCTCCACTCCCAAAATCAGGGAACAGCCCACAAAAGGGAAAAAATTGGAGACCATGGACAGAGTTGTCCTCTTCCATCAGGTACACACAGTATCTTGGCAAAGATTGTTCTGGAGTCCAGGAGTGGTGAGAGCTTTGGATTGGGGTCCAAAATAAACAACATAAGCTTTCTGTGCTCTTTCTTCATCTCTTGCACTCTCTCATTAATAGGATGCATTTTCTGGTTTGGGGTTCGGGGAAGACTCCTTACAGTGGCAAACGCTGCTTCAGCTACAGGTATTATTATGATTAGATTTTTATCCCACCTATATTTTGGTCAACCCAAGGTGGCAAACATTGATAATACTCCTTCCTCCTCTTATTTTCCCCACAACAACAATCCTGTGAGGTGGGTTGGGCTGAGAGAGACACTGGCCCCACTCATCCAGCCAGCTTCTGTGCCTAAGGGAGGACTAGAACTCACCGTCTCCTGGTTCCTAGGCCAGCACCTTCACCGCTAAATTGTCTCTCTTGGTTAGTTAGTAAGTTCTCCTGCATCACTTTACAGATACAGCAGTGAAACGTTATGGCCAAGAGTATGACGACAATTTTTACATCCTTAATTCTTACCATAACTGATAAATACAGTATAATAGAATGCCTGCAAACCTATATATGTCTTTTACCAAAAAAGCAAATTCTTGAAAGGCTCTAATGCTGGGAAAGATGGAAGGAAAGAGAAGAGGATGACCAGCAGTGAGATGGAGGGACTCAGTTACAGCAGCGATAGGTGCATCATTGGAAGAGCTGAAGGACCAGGCTAGGGGCAGATCATCACAGAGAAAGTCTACTTTTGTGGTCGCTAAGACTTGACATCATCTCTTGTTTAGACTACTGCAATGCACTCTACATGGGGCTACCCTTGAAGAGTATCTGGAAGCTACAGCTGGTTCAAAATGCGGATATGTGGACAATCTTGGATGCCCGAAGGATGGCACACATAACACCTTTGCTGCAGGAACTACACTGGGTGCCAGTTTGCTTCCGGGTCCAATTCAAGGTGTTGGTTGTCACCTTTAAAGCCGTACATGGCATGGGACCAGGTTACCTGAGGGACCATCTCACCCCATCCCATTGACCTGTCCCACCCAGTCAGACAGAAAAGGCACACTGCGGACCCCGTCAGCAAGAGAATGTTGGCTGGTGGGGCCCAGGAGGAGAGCCTTCTCCGCCGTTGCCCCCGCCCTCTGGAATATTCTCCCCCCAGAGATGCAGTGGGCCCCTACCCTCCCGGCTTTCCGGAAAGGACTAAAGACCTGGTTCTGCCAGCTTGTGTGGGGCAAGAAGAGATTTAACCAACCCTGGGGGTGTCTGGGGCCCTGATGATGCTCCCTGAGCCTAATAATTTCTAGCTACCATCACTTCTTGGAAGATATTTATTATTTATTTAGGACTAATTGTTATATTGTATTTTTAATTAATATTTCTCTTGTCTGTAAACCGCCCAGAGTCGTTTTCTACCGAGATGGGCGGTGACAAATTTGAGATATATATAAATAAATCAATAAAAACAACCTGATGGCACAATCAGTCAATCAATCAACTTTAGACGATCCTTGATAAAGGGATTGTTTAGTGGGACTTGCAGTGCAAAAAGCTTGAAAACGCAGCTTTAAAACCCACTCTGAAAAAATGGCAAAATGACATAAAACTGGAAGGGATCGTGTGATCGCTGCTGTCCATCTTGACTTTTTTGACATCCTCCCCCCTCCCCCTGAGACAAGTTTAAACTATAAAAGATTGCTGCAATCACATTGCATAAAATATAACTCAACTATCCTGAGGGCTAGGAACTTCGGGTTTTAACGCAGCAATTGCAGAACTGTGTACTTTCTGATCACTGTTACAGAAGACCTAGAGACATTATATCCGGCCCAGATAACATTTTTTAGACTTTTTTTTTAAGACAGTATATGCTGCTACGTGGTAGATCTGAAGGAAATTAAGTCACAGGAATCGCAAAAGGGAATAACTGCTTGACTAATTGCAAGAGTATAAAATCTGTATTTTGTACTGATGTTTATTAGATACCATCTGAGTAGATTTTACAAATTGTACACTATATTTTATGGTATTATAGTATAAATGTGAGTCGCAATATACTAGAAAAAGTGACCCCTTTTGTTGTTAAAAAGGTTTTGTAGGTTCTGTCTTGTAGTCTTGCCATTTAGTTTAGTAGGTTCTGCTCATTTTTATCAGTTAATAGGCTTTTATAGGATTAAAGGCTTAGTCATCTGGCTTAGTTTTATAGATTTTAGTCAAATTTTATTTTATTGTGCTATATGCTACTCTTTAATCAAATCAAGTTATTCCTCCTCCTCCTCCTCCTCCTCCTCCTCCTTCCATTTTGTCTTATTGTACTACAGCATATGCTAGTCTTTCACCAAATCAAGTTCTCCTTCTCCTTCTCCTTCTCCTTCTCCTTCTCCTTCTCCTTCTCCTTCTCCTTCTCCTCTTCCTCCTCCTCCTCCTCCTCCTCCTCTTCCTCCTTCTCCTCCATCAGCATCTCTTCTCATCACACTGGGGATCTCCCCAACATTTCATCACTGCCTGGAGCTTCTCTCGGGTTAAGGAACACAATTCATAACTTGAATCACACTTTGCCAAAGGCTTTCAAAGAAGATGCCTTTCAGATCTCAGCTACGCCTCTCTCGCTGGAAGCCGCAGGGAACCCAGCAGACCCAAATGATGAAGTGTCCCCAGTCAGGGGCATTAGACGTTATTGAAGGTTAGGCAAGGAGACCTTTTTGCTATAAATTTTCTGTTGTGTTTTCACACTTTGAAAAGGCTCCCATTTTATTTATTTTTGTCCGGCTTTCTCACATTCTTTCACCAGGGAGGCTGGGAAAGGCTGACCCTTCGCCACTGTGTCACCTTCCTCCGACTAAGTGGAATTTCTTCCAGCAGGGTTTTTTTTTAGCCCAGCTTATTCCTTTGAGGAAATGGGTCACATGAGAACAACACACGGCCTTTCAAGCTAAAGGCAAGCCAGAAACAGACCAGCCCTGAGTTCCAGTTTCATACAACTTTTGTGTGGGTGGGTGGATGTGAAATCATCTGAGTCTACGTGTGATGATCCAAGTGTGCGATGCTTCAGAAACATGATGTTCCCTTCACTTTGCTTGTGTGAAGGATGGTGACATTCCCTGGGAAGAGTAAGGCAGGAAGAAGGAGGCGGTTAACCCTCACGCTCCCCACTGATTTTCCCACACAGCTGCTCCCAGTTGGGATCTTTTCTCAACATGCTGGCTAGGGAATTCTGGGAGTTGAAGTTCACCCATCTTAGGGTTGCCACAGTTGAGACACGCTGGTTTCGATCTCTGCCAGACTCTGATATCACTCTGTGATCTGTAAACTCTGGCTGGGAAAACAGTCTCTGAAAAGGGAGTGTAGCAGTTAAAAATCAGAGCACATGGAAAGGACCTGTGGCCTTGACATTGTCACTTTTCTTTGCCACATTCCTTCATAAACACGCATGCACGCCCTCCTTGGTAAATATGAAGGCATGAGCTACATTTAATAAGATTTATCGCAGTGCCATCGTGGTGGCTGGGTTTTGTTTCCCCCCAGATTATGTTCCCAAAGTGTTCAAGAGGCCCTGGCAAGATGACCAGTCATAGGGACTAGCAACACTGAAAACCAACTGGCTTCCTCCAACGTAGAAGCCTTGGATATGGTTTTGGGTGAAGGTAAATCCTGGCCAGCTGGTGAGAGAGTTGGTGAGAGAGCCGGGTGCCCTGTTTTAAAGAGGGCTTTGAAGGCTGTCCAGTCCAGAACCCGTCTTCAGAGGAAGACTAAGACAGGGGAGCAGAACAAGGCCAAGACAGTGCCTCCTCTATGGGTAGCAGTGCCTGGAGATTAGATGGTGCAGCCGTCTCACAACTCATTCGGTCACCCTCTTCCCCACACTGCCCAGAAATCCTGCGTGTCTTTTAAAATGATAGTCATTTCCATATTCATATTTGTTCGTCTGAAGGAGCACATCGTGGGCATCTCTGTCCTCTTGGTCAAAGATATTCAAGTGCCCTTCCTCCTAAGGTCCCGGGACACAATCCAGAATTCTTCACAATGAGCAACCTTGCAGGTGATATTGGTCCACTTCATGAGACAATCCGTGGATTTTGAGAAAGCTCTTCCACAACTCCTACTGGCGCCCACCAGCTGCTCAGAGGAATGGTTTGGAGGACCTTGTCTAAGCAGTTCTCCTTTGGCTGCCTGCAGGGCATTGCTAACTGTCACCAGTCACTTGTCTTCCTTAAGCAGCAGATCACTTCCTCAGATCTGCCCATGGCCCTCCCCAGAGTATCTTAACTTGCTCTGGAAGCCCACCCACAGCTTGGGACCTGGAGCCCTGGGTGCCACCAGACCTACTTCTGACAAAGACTCGTGCAAAAGAGCTCACCAGTTAACATGGAAGATTTTTACATGCATGGATCTCTTTCCCCACTTGGTCATCCACCCAGAGTGCTCTCAAGAGGCCAGGCTGGGTTCTTGGTTCAGGGGTTGCCCCCAAATATTGGTTGCTGATTCTCACTTGGCATCCTCAAAGAGGAGCCAGTGTGATGTAGTGGTTCAGGGTTGGACTGGCACCGGGGCCACAGGAGCCCCTTTAGATCAGTAACACTCTCTCTCTCAGCCCAGCCTACCTCACAGGGTTGTTGTGGGGAAAATGGGAGGAGGGAGCACTATTTACATCTCCTTGGAGCTTCTAGAACAAAGGTGGGAGATAAGTCTAACAAATAAACCAGTAAATAAACCACACATTGGTGTTGTGGCAGCAAAAGCATTGCCCGTGGAAAGACTCAGGCTGAATTTTGTAGTACACAGGATCAAGTGGCAGAAAATGGGAGTAAGTTTCATGTTTCAAAGATTCTTCCACACTGCCATTATTTCAACCCTGGAAAATAGCTTAAGGCAGACTTGCAAGGGGCCTCACTGTAACTGATCTGGAACAATCTGAACCCTATTGATCAGTGTTTCCAACCTCAGCAACATTCAGATGGGTGGACTTCAACTCCCAGTATTCCCCAGCCTACTTGGGAATTCTGGGAGTTGAAGCCCACCCATCTAAACGTTGCTGAGGTTGGAAAACACTGCTCTAGATTGCCTTTCAACCGATCAATTAAAGGAGTAAAACAGAAAATAAACAATGCTCTTCCCATGCTGTTTTTGATGCTTTCTAAAAAACCTGGCCGTCACTGTGCAGGCTGGAAGATTCAGCACATGCCCCAGGCCCATCTGTCTTCCTGCTCAAGGAAAGACGGATGCTCCAGAGAGCGGAGGGATGCTGGGGGTGGGGGGACGAACCCAGAATCTGGGACAGAGGCTCACCCACCAATATAATAGGGCCTGACTGCCACCTTCCAAAAAGTGAACTTTTTGCCATTTCTGCTGATGCAGCTGGGCCAGAAGCTAAGCATCTCAGCCCCACAATGGTAGTCAGTATGTGGAAGCCCAGAGGATGTTCTGCTAGTCTAGCAGTGGTGCCAAACTCCTGCTTGGAGGTATCCTAAGTCACTGTGCCTGCCAGTCAGAGCAGACCGTCTCACCTACTCCGACAGATCCTCCTTCACTCACTTGGGGAAAAGGGGCTGGGGCAATCTGCCCCATTTCAGTTGCCTCCCGTTTACAAATATGTCAAGGGAGAGTTTCTTTTCAGAAGTGTGCTTGGTGCCTGTTTCCCCAAGCAAGAACCACTGCTGCTTTTATGCGGAATGCTGGCAGAGTGTTTTCTCTAAAAAGGAAAGCATTTCAGGCATTATTTTCATGAATGGGTGGACTTTTGTACAGACTTTCTCTAATACACTTTTATTCCTATTGTTAGGAGCTGCGTCGAAACCACATCCGATTTTTTAAAAATAACCAAGGTTCAACGTGTGTAGGGTTAAAAAAAAAAGGCACAGTATGTATTCTTTGAATTTGGGGGGGGGGGTTGTTTCTGTTAATTCTGTTTGCTTTTTTTAACCTTAATATGTAGGCTGTCTAGAATTACTCTTGTGACTGAAGGTGACGGACAAGCTGGCACGTAAAGCAAATAAAAGGCAAAATTAGACGGTTTGCGTGCTAACCAAATTTCTCTCCCACCCCTTATGAGAAGGGTCGCTTAGGTCTCACCACCACCCGACTTACAGCCAGCCCTGCCTTGCCGCTCCCGACGGAGGTCAAACAAGCAGCAGGACGCTGTGTCTCCTTCACGGATGACTGTCCACCGCTGGCGACCTTCTCGCCGGCCAACCCGCCCCCGTCAGCGTCCAGGGAAGCCCAGCAGAGCCTCCTCCGAAACGCCCAGTTCTGGCCTGCTCACCCTGAACTTTCTCCCGCTTCCCCCGCCCCAAGACCTCGCGTCTTGCACCGCATCCCCGGAGACACCTCCTTAACTCTGCTGTCCCCCAAACACGCCAAGCCCCGGCATCGTTATTTCTTTCAAGCATTAACAGGGAACCGGCTGGAGAGCACAGCCGGTCGGAAGAAGAGAGAGATGGGGCGGAGGAAAGCGCACACCTTCGGGAGGGGTCCCTGAGTACTCACCGGTCTTTCCCACGCCGCTGCCCCCCAGGACCACCAGCTTGATGATTTTGTTGGGCGCGCACTCCAGGAGGGGATATTCCGGGATGGGAACCAAGAGGAAATTCGTGGAGTACTGGGACATAGTCGTGCGAGGCCGGTCGCGCATGCCAGGGAAAGAGCCCCGGGGGGCCCCCGCTGGGGCTGAGCGCAGGCGGGGAGGTCGGGGCAGCCCCGGCAGGAGGCGCGGGCGCGTCTCGCTTTCCCTCGGCGGTCCCCGCAAGCGCCCGGCCTGGCATGGTCAGGGGAGCGGCATGTCCGCAGGAGCCCGGCCGGGCAGCGC